CCCCCCCAAAAAAAACTACTTGTGATGAACAAAGCATTACACTGTAAAGGAAGCTGGGCACTGGTGACTGGTGCCTGTAATCCTAGCTATTCAGGAGGCTAAGATCTGAGGATCATTGTCCAATCAAGATTCAAGCCTGGGCAGGAAACTCCAGGAGACTCTTATCTCCAATTAGTCTTCAGAAAGCTAGAAGTGAGCTGTGGGGAAGTGGAGCTGTGGCTCAAGTGGTAGAGCGCCACCTTTGAACAAAATTAGGCTAAGGTCTGGACAGCACCCAAGCCTGAGGAAAAGCACATTTGTCTTTGTGTTCACTATTACACGCACACACACACACACACACAGAGGAATGGAGAGAGAAATGAGAATGTCATCCAAAATAGAATGCTTTGGTATGTTGGTTATTTTGAGTGGAAAAACAGCAAATTGGAGTTTTCTCTGCCCTTGTTCTCATAGCTGCCTAAAAGACCCTTTCAAAAGAAGTGGCTTGTCATGAATCTCGTCTGTGAAGTTTCTTTAGCCAGGGAATATGAACTAATTACCAGCCAGGCAAAAGGAAGTTGACACCATTTTCAGACACTCCCTGTCATAACCTCTCTACTTCCATCTGTTCCTCTAATTACCCTATTTTCTCCAGTAAGTGGACAGCATTACCCCCACCCGGCTTTAATGTAAGCTCTCAAACCTCATTGCTTCTTTTTTTCCCCTGTGATGCATTCATACAAGTGATATTAATTAATGTGTATGCCCTTTCTCCTGCACATTTGTCAAGTGTTGGTTAATTGACTGGACCCCCCTGTGGAACCCTGGAGAATTCTCTCTAGACCAGGCTCCATCTACCTTGACTTTGGAAGCCCTCACCTGCCCTCCCCCTAAGTCCAGCCCTGCACCGAGTCAGAACTTATTATTTTCCATTGGGAAGAAGAGACAACAAAGCAAAGAAGATATTCCTACAAGCTCAGACAAGAAGAGAAACAAGCCACGGGGAGGAGAGAAACTTCAAATTTACTGGCCAGGGAAATCCAGGAAGGTGAGATTTCAGCTGCTGTGGCTCTGGCTCCCTCCTGTCTGACCACTAATTAAAACGGAAATAGGCAAAGATTGTTCACTGCTGGCTCAACCGGTCAGGTGGGTTGTGCAAATGCACTTAGATCGGGGAAGCTAAGTAGAGACTGGAGGATGATTGATTGGTGCAGTTGCCAGATCGGGCAGCAAGAGCCTAGGTCCATTGTCCTCTTAGAAAACCAGGAAATGCATAAGAAGTGGGAAGGGTGGAGAGCATTTAGAAGAGTGGTAAGCCATTTAAATCTTGTGTGTGGAGTCCCAGACTTCAGTTCAAATTTGGGAATTTGAAAGGCAGGAAAAGGGATGAACAATAGTTGCAGAGCGTGTTTGGACAGGAGGAAGAATTTCTGAAGTTCGACAGCATGCTAGGAGCACAGTAGCAATTAGGGTTGACAAGCAATAGCTGGATATAGTGGAGGGGGTTCCAAATATTCCCATCACAGATAGATATGTTCATTACTCTGACCTGACCATTAGGCATTGTACACATACGTTAAAATATCACAAATCACTCCTTTAAATATGCAAAACTACTGTATCAAAAGCAATTTGTGTGTATGTGTGGGTGTGTGTTTGGTACTAAGGCTTGAACTCAGGACCCGCACAGTCTCTCACTCAAGATTGATGCGCTACTACTTTAGCCACAGCTCTCCTTCTGGCCTTTTGGTGGTTAATTGAAGATAAGAGTCTCACAGGCTTTCCTGCCTGGGCTGCTTTGAACTGCAATCCTCAGATCTCAGCCTCCTAAATAGCTAGGATGCTAGGTATGAGCCACCAGGACCCAGCTATAAAAAAAAATATTTAAATTCAGAAATATGAATAATGAAACATCACAGATAGACTCAAAGTATCATTCAGATTGTATTTTGATATACTCTGCTGTTTTGCTGGGGGGGGGGGGGTTTCTTTCTTTTTTCTTAGTGCTGGAGATTGAACCCAGTTTCTCTTACATGCTAGAAGAGCACTCCATTATACAGCTATATGAGACCTGGCTTTTAATCTTTGAACAAGATAAAGAACCACTATAGAAAGGTCCACTCAGGCTGGGAAGGTGGCTCAGTGGAGAGCACTTGCCTTGCATACCTGAGGCCCTGGGTTCGATTTCCTAGCACCATATAAGCAAAAAGAAAAAAAGCCGGAAGTGGCACTGTGGCTCAAGCGGTAGAGTGCTAGCCTTGAGCTGAAGAGCTGAGGGACAGCGCCCAGGCCCAGAGTTCAGGCCCCACGACCGGACCCCCCCCCAAAAAAAGAAAGTTCCACTCAAAATACTTTTTCTGTGCATGGGAGAAGAGACTGAGTGCCCATTCCTGGGATAAGTGAGGAAGCCCTCCAGGAATATAATCCTGGGAGACAGCTGTCCTTTCCTCCCACCCCTGCCCAGGCCTCTTCCTTGGCTGGGCTGGTGAGACACTGCCTGTACACAAGCCAAGAAGAGCCTCTGTCACCATGTAAGCAGAGCATCAACCACTCAGTTCTGCCCCTTAGTCCAGGAACATGGAACCTGCAGAGTTTCTATCATAAATTCAGAAACACTGTATTAATGTATGACCTAGTTAGAAGTACACAAACAATAACTAGCAAAAAAAAAAAAAAAGATGATGTCACCAGGTGTTGGTGGCTCACATCTGTAAAACTAGCTACTCTGAAGGCTGAGATCTGGAGACTCTCAATTCAAAGTTTAACCCAGGCAGAAAAGTCCCTAAGACTTTATCTCCGAAATAACCAGCAAAATGCTAGGCTGGAGGTATAGCTCAAGTGGGAAAGTTCCAGCTGAGCAAGCAAGCCTAGCAAACAAGCCAAGTAAACTGGAGTCCCTGAATGCAAACTCTGGTACTGTAACCAGTCCACAAGTCCAAGTCAGAAAAAGACATACTGAATCCCTAATTTCTGAGACAACGCACCAAATCGGTATCCAGAAGGTTAAGGCAGCTAAATAATCTTGGTTAGGTAGCAGAATAAACATTAATTAATTAATTTATTTATTTATTTTTGCCAGTCTTGAGGCTTTGAACTCTGGACATTGTCCCTGAGCTTTTGTGCTTATGGCTAGTACTTTAACACTTGAACCATAGTTCCACTTCTAGCTTTTGTGTGATTAATTGGAGATAAGAGTCTCACAGCCAGCCAGGGCTGGCTTCAAACAATGATCTTCAGATCTCAGCCTTCTGAGTAACTAGGATTACAGATTACAGGCCTGAGCCACCAGTGCCAGGTCAGGTCATTAGTTCTTTTCTTTTTTTTTGGATCGGTCGTGGAGCTTGAACTCTGGGCCTGGGCACTGTCCCTCAGCTCTTCAGCTCAAGGCAAGTACTCTACCACTTGAACCACAGCACCACTTCCAGTTTATCTGCTGGTTAACTGGAGATAAGAGTCTCACAGACTTTCCTGCCAGGACTGGCTTTGAACCACAATCTTCATATCTTAGCCTCCTGAGTAGCTAGGATTACAGGCGTGAGCCACTGGCACCCGGCATTAATTTTTATAGTAATTAATTCTCTTGATGTGGTTTCAATGCTGTCCACAGGTTACCAGGTCATGTCCACAGGTTACCTGTGGGAAGATGATCAATTAGGAGGTCCTATGACTGTTCATTGGTAGTTTCCTTTATTATTCTTTTTTCTTTATTCTTCTTTTCGGGTGGAGCTATTGGTTAATTATTTGGGCAGTGAAGCAAAACACAAACAGTGAAAAACAGACCTACTCTAGCTGGAAATGAGTT